CAACCTTACAGTCCACATCGCAACGCCTTCCGACCCATAACATATATGCCTTCCGGACCATAACATAATGGCTTCCGGCCATATCAAGCATAGAATACATAGCACATACAAACAATTAATTTATTATATACAATGTATTCACTCATAACATATTCGACATCGTCACACAATAAAACCCTTCCGGGTACAATATAGTAAGAAAACTCACCTCGTGGAAAGTCTAGAAACTCACGTGCTCGCTATCTCTGAATCCCAAACGAAGACTCAACCTCGCCTAATCATAACGAATATCATTTTAATTAATACAGACTTCCACAACTAGACTTTACCCCTTATTAACATTCCTCAGAGGGGTAAAAGACCATTTTACCCTTCCTTAACTCAAAGTCCACATGTTGACCAAAACCCTAAAAGTCAACAAAAGTCAACATTTTTAGTACGCGGGGCGTATAGATTGATGTACGCGGGGCTTACATCGCCTCCTTACTTTTCAAAACCATTTTACTGATGTACGCGGGGCGTACATCTAGCCACTCTTCATTTCTGGTCTTTATCGGTTAAGTCACTTCTTCAACTTCTAGATCCGGCTTCCTTTAAGCCTCCTTACTCATAAAGTTGAAACCTTTAAGCCTTGTTGTGGCTGTAAAGGCTCCTACACTCCTTAACACCTTTCCATTTCAACTCAAAAGATCTAGATCTCTTGCATGGCTAATCATTCATGTCCAAGATTACATTTTTATGAATCTACAACTCAAATGGACCAGAAATATGATGGATCTAAGCTAATGGAGACTACTTGCTCATAAAGTATCCACCTTTAGGACCAAAACCCTAGAAAATGGTGCATAAAGCATACCACAAGAACTACAAGTCAAGATTCGAACTTTTTACCTTAGAATGAAGCTCCAACCTTTGCTAAACACGGATCTACACTTGAACACCAACTTCTAGCCTCCACAATGGACTCCTCTTCTCCTTTGCTACCTTGAAATGACACCACCAAGCTTAGAACACTCACAAATAAGCTAGGATCGAATGAACACTCTCTTAGGGTTTCTTTCTGAGGGATGGTGGCTGAGGAACCAAGCCATCTCATTCCTTTTATAGACAACCACGAAAATTACGTTTTTTGGGTCTGGACCAGTTACACCCAGCGTAACCTTGGGTATGCCCAGCATACCCGAGGGAGGATGCGTTTAAATGAAGCGCGCGAGTACGCGCAGCGTACTCCTTGTACGCCCAGCGTACTCGCCCAACACCAAAGCCCTAAACACCTCATCCATATGAGTTCACGGCCGTGAACTCATGGGTGCACAATGGCTTCATAACACTCGGGAATAATTGCTAGACTTGGGTTTTTGGCTTTGGAATGGATTATAACACACATATGAACCATTTATTGGAGTTTACGGCTGTAAACATGGACTTTACGGTCGTAAACTCCCCTCACTTCAAATCCTTAATGTTTTGGTCCTTAAACAATCACATGTGATTCTAATGATTTTTCCCAAGCCTTGTATGATTTTTTAAGGGGCTTTTGGCATGTGTTTAGGAGTTTACAGCCCATGAACACCCTCATGGCCGTAAACTCCTTAGATGGGGAAAATAATATGTTTTAAGGTCCAACACTTGTTTGTAAAAACTTCTAGAATTTATCCCAAGGCTTTAGGTGTGTTAAAGTGGCATTTTAACACATTTAGAGGAGTTTACTCTCCAAGAACAATGAGTTTATGGCCCAAGTATGTTCTTGGGTAGTAAACTCAAGTTTACTCCTCTAAATTTATGTTCAAGGTGTTCCAAGGCCAATTCCATAATTCTACAAGTCGTATCTAAGCCTTGTTGGTGTTTTGGAAGGGTTTAAGGGCTTAAAACCCCCTTTAATATGTGTTTACTCTCCATGATATGGAGTTTACGGCCCAAGCTTGTTCTTGGGCATTAAACTCATGTTTACTCTCCAAAAATTAAGTTCAAGGAGTTCTATGTCCGGTCCATTAAGCCATTAAGCCATATCTAAGCTCCAAAGGTCGATTGGAAGGGTTTTTAAACTCATGTCTACCTGAGGCAACTGTGGGATAGGTGGCTGTCTCACCTTGTCCTATAGCTAAGACTCTTCCAGTGTTGCCAGTTGTTGTTGCATTGGGGCAGTTTCTCTTATAATGTTCGACCCTTCCGCAACCATAACAGACCTGACTGATGCCCGCTGTGGAAGCTTGATTTGTTGGTGTTCTGCAACTCCGCGCAAGGTGACCGTCTTGGCCACAATTTTTGCAAAATTTTACACGACAGGAACCGGGGATATAGTGGTGGTAACTGCACTGGTTACACCATGGGAGAACACCGGCATATCCAGTGATAGGTGCTTGCGCTGAGGAACCAATGACAGGTACGACAGCAAGGGTAGTGGCAGCATGGACTGCCACCATTTGTTGTCTCTTCGAGAACTCCTGTGAAGGCTGACATTTCTCCCCCGCCTCCAAAAACTTTCTTTTCTCACCACTTCTTTCTGTCGGTTCAGGAGGGGTGGCTGCTTCCTCTACGTCCTCACTATGGTCGACCAAGATTTGCGCTAGGCATTTGGTGCTGTCGTATGTATCTGGCTTCGCAGCTATAACGTTCCCTTTCGTTGGCTGGGTTAATCCACAGATAAACCTCTCAATCTTCTTACTTTCTAGGGTAACCATCCCTGGACAAAGAAGCGCTAAGTCATCAAATCTGGATGTGTAGGCGGCAATATCGGAACCTTTCATCTTCAAGTTCCAGAGTTCATGCTCCAGCTTCTGAATTTCACCCCGAGGGCAATACTCTGCGTGTAGAAGTTCCTTCATAACTTCCCAACCCATAGCATTGGCTACAGGTAGAGTTAAAGATTTGACTCGGCCGTTCCACCAAGTCAGGGCTTTGTTGGTGAGAGTGCAGGCGGCAAACTTCACCTTGTCGGATTCTGAACAAGCACAGATCTAGAAGATAGATTTGTTCTTCTCTAACCACCGAGTTAGAGCAATGACACCTCGTGTGCCATCGAAGAATGTGGGTTTCGCGTTCATAAAGTCTTTATAGGAACACTCCTTTCGGTGTCCCTGGCTACTTTCCTGGTTTTGAGGTTGGGGACCACCTCCCTAACTACCGGGGTTCGTTTGCGACATGGCTGCTGAGAATGCTACAATTAAAACTGACTGAAGGGTTGCCAAGTCGATTTGAAGAGAAGGTGGTGTTGGAGGAGGGTTGTTGTTGGTCTTCGAGCTGGGTCTCTTTCTTGGAGGCATCTTTGATACGTGTATGGGAGGTTTTATTTTGGAGTGTTTCTGATTGCAGCGAAATGATAACAAATAGAGAAGAAACAATGCAAATGGGGCTGTTTTTGGTTATATTTGGAACGGTTTGCAAGGGAATAACACGAAAAAGTAACAAAGAATAGTATGATGATCAAGTTAGACCTATAACTTGAAAATCGGTGAAAACAATCCAAGACCTATTGAATTGAATTCAAAAATCACGAATGAGATCACGTCCCAAACAATGATACAAATATGAATTATAAGCAATAATTCAAGAAAGGGATGAACAAAGTTCTTATTTTCTTCAAAAGATAACTGATTTTCAAGTACAAGTATGAACTCTATTTATAGTGCTAATAACATAACTCTCGAAAATATCAAAAGTCTAAAGCAATTAAATAACTATTAAAGTCTCATTATTAAACTAATTAATGACCCATTATTGAAATATTAAAGATCCATTATGGCAGCAATTAATAAGCCGATTATGAAGATTCTTCAACTCATTTAAGCTAGTTATGATTATTTTCATGAAGCCTTTCTTGACACCAAATCATGGAACTTTAGAAAAGATAAGGGTTGGGTCATCCTTATTAAAGCACACATCATTCTCCCCCTCTTAAAAAAGACTTGTCCTCGAGTCTTCGTCTTTATTCTCAAGTCTTCATCTCTAATTCCTCTTGCCCACGGTTTCCAAATGGCAAACGATTTCCAAAGTTTAAAACGAACAAAAACGTACCAAACGGGGAATAGTCTTGATCATATATGTTTTTGGTAGACTTGTTAGCTTCCTTGATTTTGATTTCTTGAGTAGCCATTGAAAGTAGATCATGGTTGTAAAGAATATAAAAACCTGAAAACTCTTCGTAGATATTATCATGACATGTTTCCTTAATTAAGAATTTTGAAAAAGAAATATTATTTTCAACATAAACTTCTTCAATGAACTCGCCTTCATCTTCCGTGTCATAGACAGGTTCCATGTCGTAAAAGGAATTGGTGTCACAAAAATGACCATTGTTATCCTTATCCACCACGTCCCAAAAGAGTGAGGCAGATTCAGAAAAACTCGAGAGATATGCTTCTAGTCCGACAAATTCAAGATTCTCATTCGTTGGAGACATGTTGAACCAGGAATTTGTCTTGCTCAACGACACCCAATCAGAACTAGGCTTTGATACCACTTATGATACGTGTATGGGAGGTTTTGTTTTGGAGTGTTTCTGATTGCAGCGAAATGATAACAAATAGAGAAGAAACAATGCAAATGGGGCTGTTTTTGGTTATATTTGGAACGGTTTGCAAGGGAATAACACGAAAAAGTAACAAAGAATAGTATGATGATCAAGTTAGACCTACAACTTGAAAATCGGTGAAAACAATCCAAGACCTATTGAATTGAATTCAAAAATCACGAATGAGATCACGTCCCAAACAATGATACAAATATGAATTATAAGCAATAATTCAAGAAAGGGATGAATAAAGTTCTTATTCTTCTTCAAAAAATAACTGATTTTCAAGTACAAGTATGAACTCTATTTATAGTGCTAATAACATAACTCTCGAAAATATCAAAAGTCTAAAGCAATTAAATAACTATTAAAGTCTCATTATTAAACTAATTAATGACCCATTATTGAAATATTAAAGATCCATTATGGCAGCAATTAATAAGCCGATTATGAAGATTCTTCAACTCATTTAAGCTAGTTATGATTATTTTCATGAAGCCTTTCTTGCCACCAAATCATGGAACTTTAGAAAAGATAAGGGTTGGGTCATCCTTATTAAAGCACACATCATTAATGATTTGTCCACACATGTATCATTCCCTCCTTCTTCGAAAGGAATTGTCCTCAATTCAGTAAGAACGAAATTGTGTTGTTCCCCTATACGAACCTTCCCTGACAGCAAGTCTTGAAAACAAAATTTTATTGCATAATGTGACCTTTTCTTTATTTCAACTTGGTCTTTTCTCCACATACACATGTTCTTCAAATAGCTAAAAGAACTCGCCAAATGAAATCCTAACCGTGTCTTCCATTTGTGGATCAAAAACCACTTTCGTACACTCCCATGAACAAGATTAGGACCTAGTAAATTATTCTTGAAATAATTTAAAGGATTAACAATGGCCATATGAAATATTAGATCATGGTTTGTACTTGTGGGTTGATGAACAACATGTTCCAATAACATGGCTTCCCAACTAAAGGTACACCACAAGAATAGGAATCCAAGCATTATAAACTCCCTCCCTCGTAATTGCTTGGAACTTGGAACTTGATGGGTCACTCCTTCTTCTAGGTTCTTAGAAAGACGGTTTGTTATAAGACGAGTATCATCATCCTTCTTAACCACAACCACATCTTCGTGGTCAAGAACTTGCTCCACCTCTTTGAATTCTTCAACCTTTTCTTCAACAATTTTGTTTGTAACAACAAAATCTTTTTCTTTCAAAAACTTTTCATCAATTTCGTTTCCAAGCACAAAATTTATTTCTTCTTCAATTTCTTCATGATCCTCTTCCCCATAAATATCGTAGATAGGGCTAGAGTCTTCAATAATTTCATCTCCAACCATGAAAGTGAATTTTTCAATAAATTCCTCTTCAAACAAGAAATTTATTCTTTCACAAAATTCCCCTTCACCATCGGTGTCGTAGATGGGACCGAAATCTTCTTCCTCCTCTTCTTCAACATATAGCTTGCGCAACATTTTTGGATAACAACTCAGTTCAAACAAACTTAGCAGAATTTCTTTTGAACAAACCCAATCGGAACTAGGCTCTGATACCACTTATGATACGTGTATGGGCTTGATTTAGTGAGTGGGGTAATTTTTAGGTAAATTAAGAGAGAATAACAACCACAAATGATATGTGAATGGCAAGAAATGGATAGATTAGTAACAACTCAAGACCTATTAAGTTGTATACCGGTGAAAACAATCCAAGACCTATTGGATTGAGTTCGTATCAAGTCAAGAACGCATCCTAACAAGATAATTTGTGAATTATAACAATAATTCCAATTGAACAAAGGTTTTTTTCTTAAAAATTCGTCTATTCACTTTCCCATGCATAAACTTGGCTTTATATGAAGCCTTTATTACAAACATGGTGGTTACAAGCCAACCAACCAATTATTCATTAAAACTAGTAAATAGAAATTAAGGTAACTCTTGAAAGAACACAAAAAAAAACGTCCATGAGACTTGTGAATGAAAAAAAAACGGCTATGCTTGCTTAAGGAGCCATAAGAAGCATTAAGGAGTCATCATAAGCATTAAAGTGTAACCCTAATCCACCAAAGAGTGTCAAAAATGGCTAGGAGGCTTTATGAAGCAAATAGTAACGTTTTTAGCACTTATGAAGCCTTAAAAATGTTGCCCTAGTCTTCATGCAACCTTAATTGAATTTGTGGGTTACCATGCACAACCCAACCATTGAGCCCAAACCACCTTCTAGCCCACTAGTAATCACTAATCCATCACATTTTGGGCTTTCATGATCCATGCATGGATCATCCCTTCCCCCTTTGAAAGGAATTGACCTCAATTCATCAAGTCCATCATCATCAAGATAAGGTGAAAGATCTCCCACATTAAAGGTAGCATGCATTCCATGGTCTCCTCCCAAATCCACCTTGTAACCATTATCATTTTCATAATTTGTCACTTCCACACATGTATCAATCTTGATCTAATAAGATCAGGAAAGAGAGGATGGTAAGTCCTCCGAATTGAATCAAGAGATATGATACGAGGGATATCTCTTTATGACATACATCGATATCTATTAAGCGATAAAGCAGGAAGGAGTTATCACAACAGATAATTTATTGCTAAAGGAATGATTGAGGAGCAACGCTGGGATTTCTTGAGAAATACTCCCATAGTATTTCTTGTCTCGCTGCAACGACGGCTCATTGTTTGGGTATTGGGCAAGTTTTAGGCATACCGTACACCACAGTCACTCCCAAGCACATATTGGCCATGTCTCGAATGAATATAGTTGGCCAGACTATATTGATCCTAGACACGACTACATAACTGCCCAGGTTTAACCGCAAAGTACAACACCCATTTACTTATGTTTCATTCTACTAGTAGTTACGAATTTTGATGATTAGGTATACTTGTATACTTTTGAAAATACTTATACTTTGAAGGATACTTTTAGTTTAGAGCACTTACGCCCTTAGTGTTTATAGTTTTATACCATGCAAGGTTTGCTATACTCCATTCACTATAAACAATGGCTCTGATACCAATCTGTCACACCCCGAAAACCTAAGGCGGAAACATTCCTGGGGCGGACTCCACGTCGAGTATCAAATCCAATGCACATAGTAAGCAAAGTAAACAACCATTACATTACATATCAAAGTTTACATTTGTTCAAAAGTAAAGTTGTATATTTGTAATACATAGTATATATGAACAAAATGAGACGAATCTTCTATGCACTCCGTCTTCGCCAAAAATGATCGTTGGGTACCTGTCTAATGTTGACATGAGAATACAAGCAGTTTGAAAATCAGCATAAAGCTGGTGAGTTCATAAGATGTTTGTTTTGTGAAAATGTACGAGTTTCCTTTGGTTTTCCGAGAAGTTTGTTATCCAAGAAAATCCCATATTTTCTTAAAAGTAATGTTTGATTAATTCTTGGTTACACGGTTCTGGTTATGTTGAACTATGATCCCAGAAAAGTCCCATACGTTCCTGATTGTATGTTACCAATTGTGAAAGATGTAAAGTTATCTGGTTTATTACACTTTTCTAGTTATGTAAACGTTCCCCAGGAAAGTTCCATACTTTCTTGAATGTTGGTTATCAATGCAAAAGATGTATTCTGTAAAACGTGGTTATGTTCAGTGTTTCCCTAGGAAAATCCCATATTTTGCTAAAAGTAAGTTTAGTTATTGAATTTCGATGTAATGTTTGATTACCATTTGTATTTATTGTATTAACTAGGTATTCTGATATCCTAATAGTGTTTCACTGGAGTGTACCTAGATACATGTAATTGTATTCGTATTCCTATTCTTAATCATATTCATAGTTATAATTTATATTTGTATTCATATTATATTTGTAGTCCTATTCGTATTCGTATTCCTAGTCCTATTCATAATCCCATTCGTATTTGTATTTGTATTCGTATTCGTATTCGCAGTCGTATTCCTATCCCTAATCCTACTCCTAATACTATTCGTATTCGTATTCGTATTTGTATTCGTATTCGTATTCGCAGTTGTATTCATATCCCTAATCCTACTCCTAATACTATTCGTATTCGTATTCGTATTCGTATCTCTAATCCTACTCCTAATACTATTCGTATTCGTATTCGTATTCGTATTCGTATTTGCAGTCGTATTCATATCCCTAATCCTACTCCTAATACTAATCGTATTCTTATTCATATTCGTATTCGTATTCGCTGTCGTATTCGTATCTCTAATCCTACTCCTAATATTATTCGTATTCGTATTCGTATTCGTATTCGCATTATTACTTTAGTATTCCTATTCGTTCTATTTCTAGTTACACTTTCGTATTCGTTCTGTTCCTGGTTGTACTTTCGTATTCGTATTCGTATTAGTTCTAATTGATGGTTAGTATGAATTATTCGCAGATTATTAAATATAATTTAGATTGTAACACATTATCAGGAAATCTATGATTAGTCTGAAAGTTAACTTCGTAATTCGAACTATTTGATAAACACAATTTTTGATATTAGAACATACAGAATGAAATCAATTGAATTGAAAACAATAAGTTGGAGTACAAGATTTCCTTGTACTTTTGCTTGTATTCCCCCTGAAAATAGTAAAAAACATTTGAAAAATGGTAGGGGTATGAACTCACCGGTTAAGAAACACGACGTTCCGGATGCTAAGTGTCGATTCAAGGTTTGATAACACGCGAGGTTCCTATGTAATACGAAATGGTATAGAAATATATCTAATTAGATTTATAAACTCTAATTAGATATGATATTACACTCCAATGAGCGAAAACACTTCAAAACAAGTGTTTGGAGTGACCCGGGTAACATCTACGGACGTGTATTGATGCGTGGGACTTGGGAATTGAGTTTACTCTTAAAGAGTAGACTTTTTAGGGAGTTTAATACCCTAAACACCTCATCCATATGAGTTCACGGCCGTGAACTCATGGGTGCACAATGGCTTCATAACACTCGGGAATAATTGCTAGACTTGGGTTTTTGGCTTTGGAATGGATTATAACACACATAGGAACCATTTATTGGAGTTTACGGCTGTAAACATGGACTTTACGGTCGTAAACTCCCCTCACTTCAAATCCTTAATGTTTTGGTCCTTAAACAATCACATGTGATTCTAATGATTTTTCCCAAGCCTTGTATGATTTTTTAAGGGGCTTTTGGCATGTGTTTAGGAGTTTACAGCCCATGAACACCCTCATGGCCGTAAACTCCTTAGATGGGGAAAATAATATGTTTTAAGGTCCAACACTTGTTTGTAAAAACTTCTAGAATTTATCCCAAGGCTTTAGGTGTGTTAAAGTGGCTTTTTAACACATTTAGAGGAGTTTACTCTCCAAGAACAATGAGTTTATGGCCCAAGTATGTTCTTGGGTAGTAAACTCAAGTTTACTCCTCTAAATTTATGTTCAAGGTGTTCCAAGGCCAATTCCATAATTCTACAAGTCGTATCTAAGCCTTGTTGGTGTTTTGGAAGGATTTAAGGGCTTAAAACCCCCTTTAATATGTGTTTACTCTCCATGATATGGAGTTTACGGCCCAAGCTTGTTCTTGGGCATTAAACTCATGTTTACTCTCCAAAAATTAAGTTCAAGGAGTTCTATGTCCGGTCCATTAAGCCATTAAGCCATATCTAAGCTCCAAAGGTCGATTGGAAGGGTTTTTAGGCTCCAAAACCCATTTTATGTGAGTTCACGGCCTAGGACTGTTCTAGGGCCATAAACTCATGAATATGGTCCTATTCCATGATTTAAACTCGAATTTGAATGCTAGAGAGGTTGCATAACAAATTAGGGAAGGTACCTTGGTGATTAGAAGCCTTAAATTTGAGATTTTGGACCCTTAAACTTGAATTTAGGAGAGAGGTTAGAGAGAGAGTAGAGAGAGAGAGAGAGAGAAAGCTTCAAATGATAGCTTGAACATGTTTAAATAGGTCCCAAAACTTGGACACGGTGGAATTCTACCCGATATCGGCACTAAACGGGGCTTTTGGTCGCACCCGATTAAGTTTCCGTAACTCAGTGGGGACGTTTCTAAAATTTCTGAAATAAATATTTTGGGCTAATTTCATGAGTTCCTAAGGGGTTTGGACACTCATTAGTATCAAATAAACATATAAGTTTAAATAATATAGCCCAAAACAAAATCGGAACGAATCGATAAACGGCGAATTTTTACGGGTAGAATGGGCTTTCGGCGATGGAAAATTTCGGGTTGTTACATTATCCCCCCGTTAGAGGGAATTTCATCCCGAAATTCAAAGATTTAGATACGGATCATGAAAAGAAAAGATATGTGGATGGATTAGCTTCTCCAGGTTTTCACGCTCCCAAGTGGCAACGGGTCTCCGGTTGACGTTCCAGCGAACCCTCACTTTCAGGACGCGTCTTGGTTTCGTTGGGTAGATACTTCTTAAAGACCGAGACGTGAAGTACCAGAGGAATGTTACTAAGTTCCAAGGGTAATCGAAGTTTGTAGGCTACGGAATCAATCCTAATGAGGATTTCGAAAAGTTCTATGTTCCTTGGGACACGCGTTTCAGAATGTAACAAGCCATCATTCTCATTGTTGGCTACCTTTGATGGACGTTTCGAGTACAAGTTGATGACTACGTTTATGAAATGGTTTGAATGAATAGGTAACAGTTTATCTTTCAGGTCTAGAATTGAAAAAGGATTGCAAGTAAAAGGGTTATCGAAGAGGAATATACCTGAGGCAACTGTAGGATCGGTGGCTGTCTCACCTTGTCCTATAGTTAGGACTCTTCCAGTGTTACCAGTTGTTGTTGCATTGGGGCAGTTTCTCTTATAATGCCTGACCCTGCCGCAACCATAACGACTGACGCCCGCTCTGGAAGCTTGATTTGTTGGTGTTCTGCAACTCCGCGCAAGGTGACCCTCTTGGCCATAATTTTTGCAAAATTTTACACGACAGGGACCGGGGATATAGTGGTGGTAACTGCACTGGTTACACCACGGGAGAATACCGGCATATCTGGTGATAGGTGCTTGGGCTGAGGAACCGATGACAGGTACGACAGCAGGGGTAGTGGCAGCGTGGACTGCCACCATTTGTTGTCTCTTCGAGAACTCCTGTAAAGGCTGACATTTCTCCCCCGCCTCCCAAAACTTTCTTTTCTCACCACTTCTTTCTGTCGGTTCAGGAGTGGTGGCTGCTTCCTCTACGTCCTCACTATGGTCGATCAACATTTGCGCTAGGCATTTCGTGCTGTCGTATGTATTCGCATTCGCAGCTATAACGTTCCATTTGGTTGGCTGGGTTAATCCCCAGATAAACCTCTCAATCTTCTTACTTTCAGGGGTAACCATCCCTGGACAAAGAAGCGATGAGTCATAAAATCTGGATGTGTAGGCGGCGATATCGGAACCTTTCATCTTCAGGTTCCAGAGTTCATGCTCCGACTTCTGAATTTCACCCCGAGGGCAATACTCTGCGTGTAGAAGTTCCTTCATAACTTCCCAACCCATAGCATTGGCTACAGGTAGAGTTAGAGATTTGACTCGGCCGTTCCACCAAGTCAGGGCTTTGTTGGTGAGAGTGCAGGCGACAAACTTCACCTTGTCGGATTCTGAACAAGCACAAATCTCAAAGATAGATTTGTTCTTCTCTAACCACCGAGTTAGAGCAATGACACTTCCTGTGCCATCAAAGAATGTGGGTTTCGCGTTCATAAAGTCTTTATAGGAACACTCCTTTCGGTGTCCCTAGCTACTTTCCTGGTTTTGAGGTTGGGGACCACCTCCCGAACTACCGGGGTTCATTTGCGACATGGCTGCTGAGAATGGTACAGTTAAAACTGACTGAAGGGTTGCCAGGTCGATTTGATGAGAAGGTGGTGTTGGAGGAGGGTTGTTGTTGGTCTTCGAGTTGGGTCTCTTTCTTGGAGGCATCTTGATCTAATAAGATCAGGAAAGAGAGGATGGTAAGTCCTCCGAATTGAATCAAGAGATATGATACGAGGGATATCTCTTTATGACATACATCGAATTCTATTAAGCGATAAAGCAGGAAGGAGTTATCAAAATAGATAATTTGTCGCTAATGAAATGATTAAGGAGCAACGCTGGGATTAGGAATTCTATAACGGATTTGGCTCGAGAAATACTCCCGTAGTATTTCTTGTCTCGCTGCAAAGACAGCTCATTGTTTGGGTATTGGGTAAGTTTTAGGCATACCATACACCATAGTCACTCCCAAGCACATGTTGGTCGTGTCTCGAATGAATATAGTTGGCCAGGCTCTATTGATCCTAGACACGACTACATAACTGCCCAGGTTTAACCGCAAAGTACAACACCTATTTACTTATGTTTTGTCCTACTAGTAGTTACGTATTTCGATGATTAGGTATACTTGTATACTTTTGAAAATACGTATACTTTGAAGGATACTTTTAGTTTAGAGCACTTAGGCCCTTAGTGTTTATAGTTTTATACCATGCAAGATTTGGTATACTCCATTCACTATAAACAAGGGCTCTGATACCAATCTGTCACACCTCGAAAACCTAAGGCGGAAACATTCCTGGGGCAGACTCAATGTTGAGTATCAAATCCAATGCACATAGTAAGTATAGTAAACAACCATTACATTACATATTAAAGTTTACATTTGTTCAAAAGTAAAGTTGTACATTTGTAATACATAGTATATATGAACAAAATGAGACGAGCCTTCTGTACACGGTTCTGGTTAGGTTTAACTATGATCCCAGAAAAGTCCCATACTTTCCTGATGCGTGTATGGGCTTGATTTGATGAGTAAGGTAGTGTTTAGGTAAATTAAGAGAGAATAACAACCACAAATGATATGTGAATGGAAAGAAATGGATAGATTAGTAACAACTCAAGACCTATTAAGTTGTATACCGATGAAAACAATCCAAGACCTATTGGATTGAGTTCGTATCAAGTCAAGAACACGTCCCAACAAGATAACTTGAGAATTATAACAATAATTCAAAGTGAAAATAATGGTTCTTTGATTAAAATTCGTGTATTACTTTTTCCATGCATAATTTGGCTTTATATGAAGCCTTTATTACAAATTTGGTGGTTACAAGCCAACCAACCAATTATTCATTAAAACTAGTAAATAGAAATTAAGGTAACTCTTGAAAGAACACAAAAAAAAACGTCCATGACACTTGAGGATGAAGAAAAAACGTTCATGCTTCATTAAGGAGCCATAAGAAGCATTAATGAGCCATCAGAAGCATTAAAGTGTAACCCTAATCCACCAAAGAGTGATAAAAACGGCTAGGAGGCTTTATGAAGTAAAAAGTAACGTTTTTAACACTTATGAAGCCTTAAAAATGTTGCCCTAGCCTTCATGCAACCCTAATTCAATTTGTGGGCTACCATGCACAACCCAACCATTGAGCCCAAGCCACCTTCTAGCCCACTAGTAATCACTAATCCATCACCTTTTGGGCTTTCATAATCCATGCATGGATCATCCCTTCCCCCTTTGAAAGGAATTGACCTCAATTCATCAAGTCCATTATCATCAAGATAAGGTGAAAGATCTCCCACATTAAAGGTAGCATGCATTCCATGGTCTCCTCCCAAATCCAAATTGTAACCATTATCATTTTCAGAATTTTTCACTTCCACACATGTATCATTCCCTCCTTCTTCGAAAGGAATTGTCCTCAATTCAGTAAGAACCAAATTATGTTGTTCTCCCATGCAAACCTTCCATGACAATAGGTCTTGAAAACACATATTTATTACAGAATGTGACCTTTTCTTTACTCCATGTTGGTCTTCTCTCCACATACACATGTTCTTCTTCAAACAACTAAAATAACTCACATAATTCAATCCTAACCGTATCTTCCATTTGTAGATCAAAAACCATTTTCGTACCTTCCCATGAACTCGACCCTGCAAATTAACTTTGCAATAGTTTAAATGGTTAATTGTAGTCATTTTAAAGAATGAATCATGGTTTGTATTTGTAAGTTGATGAGCAGCACGCCCCAATATCATGGCTTCCCAATTAAAGGCACACCAATAGAATATGAGTCCCAACATCACGAGCTCCCCCCTAAGTAAATACTTGGGACTTGGATCTTCATATTGATTAATTCTTTCGTCTTTACTCATAGAAAGATGGTTTGTAAAAAGATGGATACAATCCTTCTTCTTTCTTTCACCACAAAATGCAAGCCTTCGCTCCTGGTGTTTTTGAACAACGAATGAAGAATTAATAAAAATATCTTTTGTTTGTTGCCAACACGAAAAATTGGCATAAGAATTGCCACGCAATGCCTCTTTTCGTGACTGATTGCTACCACCATGAACACATATTGTTTTGGAAATCTTCATATCGTCTTTTGGAGGGTACAAAATTCTGCCATCATCCAAAAATAATTGGTCTTGCTGTTTTTGAGTCACGAATGAAAAGTTTCTATCTTCAATTGCACAAAACTTTTTTATCAAAAGTAATATGGAAGTCTTTTTTCTCCTTTTGATCAATGAATGAAGACAAAACAAAAACAACATTAGTAAGATCATAATTAGTAAAATCCAACATCTCACCATGCTTTCTCCTCTCACCAAGGCCTTCAAAATGCAAAATATAAGCATTCCATGGCCTCCAAAGTGTAAAAATCTCCCACACTTTGAAACGAAAATGAAGATGAAAAATGAATAAACCTTCTTGATCAATGAAGCTTCCAATTTGGATTTCTTTAAGATCTTTAGAAAAGAAATTATATTCATAAAAGATATGAGAACCTGAATTTTTGTGGCACTTATAGTCATTTGTTCTCGTGGTTGTAAGCTCTTGGAATGAAATTTGTTGTTCAACAAAAATCACAATTTCTTCAATAATTTTGTCCATATCAACAAAATTGATTTCTTCCACAATTGCTTCAACAAATTCATCTCCAATCACGAAATTAGTTTCTTCTTCAATTTCTTCAATAAATTCTTCTTCAACCAAGAAACTTATTCTTTCACAAAATTCCCCTTCTCCATCGGTGTCATAGATGGGACCAGAATCTTCTTCCTCCTCTTCTTCAAATTTATCTTCCTCTATTTGTTCTTCATCATATAATTTGCGCAACATTTTTGGATAATAACTTCTGAACAACTGAAATAAAAAAATAGCAAGAATTTTTCTTGAACAAGAACTCAGTTACACCCAATCGGAACTAGGCTCTGATACCACTTATGATGCGTGTATGGGCTTGATTTGATGAGTAAGGTAGTGTTTAGGTAAATTAAGAGAGAATAACAACCACAAATGATATGTGAATGGAAAGAAATGGATAGATTAGTAACAACTCAAGACCTATTAAGTTGTATACCGATGAAAACAATCCAAGACCTATTGGATTGAGTTCGTATCAAGTCAAGAACACGTCCCAACAAGATAACTTGAGAATTATAACAATAATTCAAAGTGAAAATAATGGTTCTTTGATTAAAATTCGTGTATTACTTTTTCCATGCATAATTTGGCTTTATATGAAGCCTTTATTACAAATTTGGTGGTTACAAGCCAACCAACCAATTATTCATTAAAACTAGTAAATAGAAATTAAGGTAACTCTTGAAAGAACACAAAAAAAAACGTCCATGACACTTGAGGATGAAGAAAAAACGTTCATGCTTCATTAAGGAGCCATAAGAAGCATTAATGAGCCATCAGAAGCATTAAAGTGTAACCCTAATCCACCAAAGAGTGATAAAAACGGCTAGGAGGCTTTATGAAGTAAAAAGTAACGTTTTTAACACTTATGAAGCCTTAAAAATGTTGCCCTAGCCTTCATGCAACCCTAATTCAATTTGTGGGCTACCATGCACAACCCAACCATTGAGCCCAAGCCACCTTCTAGCCCACTAGTAATCACTAATCCATCACCTTTTGGGCTTTCATAATCCATGCATGGATCATCCCTTCCCCCTTTCAAAGGAATTGACCTCAATTCATCAAGTCCATTATCATCAAGATAAGGTGAAAGATCTCCCACATTAAAGGTAGCATGCATTCCATGGTCTCCTCCCAAATCCAAATTGTAACCATTATCATTTTCAGAATTTTTCACTTCCACACATATCTAGTTTATTACACTTTTCTAGTTATGTAAACATTCCCCAGGAAAGTCCCATACTTTCCTGAATGTTGGTTATCAATGTAAAAGATGTATTCTGTAAAACGTGGTTATGTTCAGTGTTTCCCCAGGAAAATCCCATATTTTCCTAAAAGTAAGTTTAGTTATTGAATTTCGATGTAATGTTTGATTACCATTCGTACTTATTGTATTAACTAGGTATTCTAATACCCTAATAGTGTTTCACTGGAGTGTACCTAGATACATGTCATTGTATTTGTATTCCTCTTCTAAATCATATTCATAGTTATAATTTATATTTGTATTCGTATTATATTTGTAGTCCTATTCGTATTCGTATTCCTAGTCCTATTCCTAATCCCATTCGTATTCGTATTCGTATTTGTATTCGTATTCGTATTCGTATTCGTATTCGTATTCGTATTCGTATTCGTATTAGTATTCATATTCGTAGTCGTATTCCTATCCCTAATCCTACTCCTAATACTATTCGTATTCGTATTCGTATTCGTCTTTGTATTCGTATTCGTATTCGCAGTCGTATTCGTATCCCTAATCCTACTCCTAATACTATTCGTATTCGTATTCGTATTTGTATTTGTACTTGTATTCGTATTCGCAGTCGTATTCGTATCTCTAATCAGGATCGGCCAAAGCCCAGGGCGAGCTGGGCCATGGCCCAGGGCAACAAATTTTTGTGGGGCATCAGATTTCCTAAACCTGTTATTAACATATGATATTTGGGCCTCTTGATCCAAGCAAGTCTGGTCCAGCAACAACACGTTTATTCTATACCTAAACATTAGCCGGCAAATATAAGTTCATTCGGCAAATCAAAGTTCATTCGGAAGGACGACTCTTCAGTCTTCTAAGTATCAGCACACGCCTAATAATTGTTCTTAGAGAAGACGAGGCATTCCGATCAATGGCGCTCCGGAGAAAATGAAGCAAACAAATACGGATGATGATTTTCACCAATAACTTTCTCCTAGGTAACAACACATGCCTAATAATAGCTTTTTCTTATAATCCTTGAGCCCCCATCAATATTCTCCAATAATCATGTTTCAAGACATGAGATGATGTACCGATTTTAGACAATTGAGAAGTTGCAACGACAGAGGGTGATTTTAGATGCGTAAATCTCAACTCTCAAGGATCTCTCTTTACTCTCGTATATCTTTGTCTCTCGCATGAGCTCACAAGAATTTGGAAGCCTCGGCCTCTCAACCTTTCTCAGTTGAATATTCACAGTTGAATATTCATTGGAGTAATTTGTGTCAGTTTGTTTCAGTATTTAAATGGTTTTTGCTGATTGCTCTCATAATTAAAAAAAAAAGGCTAGAGTGTTGTATTTGAAATTTAATGCCAGATTGGTTGAGGTGGAGATTTTGGTGCTCTAATTTGTAAAATAGCTTGTATACTTTCCTGTTGCCTTAGAGTTTTTGCAATTGGGTTTTAGGCCTTCAATCATTTTATTTTCACATAAGTTGAAGACACTTTTTGATTTTGTTTCATTGATTAGAGTTTCTTTTGGTGTAAATTGATCTTATAATTAACCACTACATATTTGGGGATGCATACTTAGAGGCTCTCACTACAAATGCTTTAAGTTGCAAGAATGATTGGGGTATGTATTATCATGTTTGAAAAACGAAAAAACACAGGTTATGGTGTGGCTGATGTTAATATCAAGACTTTAATGTGGATGCATTCATATTTAGTCAAAAATCAATAAAGTGAGGTTGCTTATTTTTTTAGTCTATTATGTTCTTATAAAGTTCATTATTGTAACTTGTAAGTGGTATAGCAACTGTGATTTTCCTATACGTCCATTGTCATAATAGTTTTGGTGTTCTCAAATCTCTTAGTTCATTTTGTTTAGCCTTTTTGTTGGTGTTTTAGTTGCTGAGGTGCTAATGTGGTCTCTACTTTTATAGTTTTGGCACCTTATGTCATGTACTTTTGTTTCATCATCGTACCACAAGGTTAATTAGACAAACACATCTAAATATTTAATGTACTCGATATTAGATTTTCCCAACAGCATCTTACCTTTTTTTTTTTTGTATTTGAAACCTAATTTGTTATGCCTCTATGTATGTGTAGTGTATTTAGGATTATCATTTTGATGGATATGGTATTTTTAAATATAAAAATGTTTTTTTTTGTTTTACAATTTTATGTCGTTCGGTAAAATAAGGGCATCATTAAGTTTCTTTGCCCAGGGCATGGATAACATATGGACCGACCCTGTCTCTAATCCTACTCCTAATACTATTCGTATTCGTATTCGTATTCGCAGTCGTATTCGTATCCCTAATCCTACTCCTAATACTATTTGTATTCGTATTCGTATTCGTATTCGTATTCGCTGTCGTAGTTGTATCTCTAATCCTACTCCTAATACTATTCGTATTCGTATTCGCGTTATTACTTTAGTATTCCTATTCGTTCTGTTCCTAGTTACACTTTCGTATTCGTTCTGTTCCTAGTTGTACCTTCGTATTCGTATTCGTATTAGTTCTAATTGATGATTAGTATGAATTATTCACAGATTATGAAATATAATTTAGATTGTAACACTTTATCAAGAAATCTATGATTAGTCTGAAAGCTAACTTCATAATTCGAACTATTTGATAAACACAATTTTTGATATTAGAACATACATAATGAAATCAATTGAGCCAAAAACAATAAGTTGGAGTACAAGATTTCCTCGTACTTTTTCTTGTATTCCCCCTAAAAACAGTGAAAAACATTTGAAAAAGGGTAGGGGTATGAACTCACCGGTTGAGAAACACGACGTTCCGGATGCTAAGTGTCGATTCAAGGTTTGATAACACGCGAGGTTCCTATGTAATACGAAATGGTATACAAATATATCTAATTAGATTTATAAACTCTAATTAGATATGATATTACACTCCAATGAGCGAAAACACTTTAAAACAAGTGTTTAGAGTGACCCTGGTGACATCTACGGACGTGTATTGATGCGTGGGACTTGGGAATTGAGTTTACTCTTCAAGAGTAGAATTTTTAGGGAGTTTACTACCCTAAACACCTCATCCATATGAGTTCACAACTGTAAACTCATGTTGGTTGATTTTGAGTGCAAAATGGCTTCATAACACTCGGGAATAATTGCTAGACTTGGGTTTTTGGCTTTGGAATGGATTATAACACATATAGGGACCATTTATTGGAGTTTACGGCTGTAAACATGGAGTTCATGGCCGTAAACTCCCCCTCACTTCAAATCCCTAATGTTTTGGTCCTTAAACAATCACATGTGATTCTAATGATTTTTCCCAAGCCTTGTATGAATTTTTAAGGGAGTAAACTCAAGTTTACTCCTCTAAATTTATGTTCAAGGTGTTCCAAGGCCAATTCCATAATTCTACAAGTCGTATCTAAGCCTTGTTGGTGTTTCGGAAGGGTTTAAGGGCTAAAAAACCCCTTTAATATGTGTTTACTCTCCATGATATGGAGTTTACAGCCCAAGCTTGTTCTTGGGCAGTAAACTCATGTTTACTCTCCAAAAATTAAGTTCAAGGAGTTCTAAGTCCGATCCATTAAGCCATTAAGCCATATCTAAGCTCCAAAGGTCGATTGGAAGGGTTTTTGGGCTCCAAAACCCATTTTATGTGAGTTCACGGCCTAGGACTGTTCTAGGACTGTAAACTCATGAATATGGTCCTATTCTATGATTTAAACTCGAATTTAAAGGCTAGAGAGGTTGCATAACAAGTTAGGGAAGGTACCTTGGTGATTAGAAGCCTTAAATTTGAGATTTTGGACCCTTAAACTTGAATTTAGGAGAGAGGTTAGAGAGAGAGTAGAGAGAGAGAGAGAGAAAGCTTCAAATGATAGCTTGAACATGTTTAAATAGGTCCCAAAACTTGGACACGGTGGAATTCTACCCGATACTGGCACTAAACGGGGCTTTTGGTCGCACCCGATTAAATTTCCGTAACTCGGCGGG